GGCTACTTCCAGCTGTCTTTAGAAGGCCTCATCGACTTCCTCTTCCTGATCAGGTGGCCTGTAGCAAACACCCACAACAGTGTCACCCGTGTTAGTCTGCCCTTTAATCCCTACCCATAAGCTCTTAACTAACTCATCATCCACCCAGTTCCCTTGGTAGTATTTTTGGTGCCCGTGTGGAAGAGCAGCAGGGAGCAATAATTGGAGGGGTGGACAAGCTTTGGAAACCTTTGCATGACATCTCAGGTCTGAGTCCCTGGCAGGCAGCAAACCTTTCTAGGCAAGAGGTCAGATCAGCAGATGCTGTCACCTGCAGCAGGGAGTCACCTACAACAATCAGTCGCCACTTCTTCCGGGTGTTCCTGTGTGGCACAGGGTCTGTCAGCCCAGTTGCTTCACTTGATGCCACGCCCAGCTTCTCCTCAGCTTGGAGGGCACTGAACCTGTTCATCAACTGCAAGTCTTTAGGAGGAGCAAGAGCTTTTCTCCTCGTACAAGCAGTGGCCAGTTTCCAGCCTTCATCTTCTACAGAGTTATGATTTACTGTTCCACATGGCACAGAGCCCACCTGCATCTCCACGGCTGTAGAGGGTTGAAACTCCTGAAGCTGTAGGGTCTGATGGGAGAATATCTTATCTATCTCTCACTCATCTTCTTGGATGCTACGCAGCCTGCTTACTTTCTGTCATAACTCCTTTACCTGGCAACACAACTCATCAACAACAGCACACCTTCTGCAGAAAATTTGACTGTCATCCCCAGCCTCAGAGAGGCCCTAGGCAGTCCCTGCAGCCTGAGACCTACAGAGCTGCATCCACCATCAGAAGGTCTGTCTAGGTGGAAGCCTCCAACATGGCAGACACAGCAGCTCCAAAGGCTACTGGGAAATGTGTTCTGTGGCCTGTCATAACCATATCTGAGGAAGTGTACAGTACTATGACTGGAGGCGAGAGCCCTTTCCTTTCACCCTCCTGCATGAACTGCTGTGTCTGTTAGCTGTGCTCAGCTAGCGAAGGCCATGTCTACCATAGCCCTGTCTGTGCCGAGATTTTAACCTAGGCTAGTGTTAGTTGCCAAATGTTAACTTTTTCTTAGTAAAAGTGTAATATTAAAAACATCTGAATTGACATGAACAGCAGACAAATTCTCCCTTCCCAACTTTTCAGTGGCCTAAACAAGATCTGTTGATTTCAGTGTGAACCATAAACCTGCTCTCAATGACACAGGCAGCTGCTTTATTGTTAGGAAAGTGAAACCTGTTTGTGCAGCTATTGGCCTAAGAGCACATTTTCCAGTGCAGTAGTCAGCTGAAGGCTCAGGGGGGAGTGCACTCATTCCTAACTCTCCCTCTTCCAATAGACCTGTGCCTGCATGCAGTGAGTCTCATTTATTCTCTTCAGTGCTGTCTACATAAATTTAAAGATAAAGGTACCTATTACTGAAGAATGTTTGGTAAATGTTTGGTTATCACTTAGGAATTAGACTAATTAAACATTCCTAGCACTCACTCAGCCCAGCTCTTACGTTATGCTTTCTGTTTTCAAGGTGCTGTATAAATATTAACTAAATAACCCACTGAACACCACTTTGAGGTAGGGATGTTCGGGGGACAGATTCACGGAGGAGATTGACTTGCTCAGCTGAGTAAAGCCTGGGGTGGCTGCGAGCATTTGACAGCTAGGGTGCAGGTGATGCCTTATCTGGACAGATAGGCATTCCCTGTGAATAAATAGTTTCCACAAGCTGCTCATGAGATTTCTGAATACATTAAATATTTCAAAGGGCACTTTCTCCATGGCATCCAAAAGTTTCTATTCTGGCCACAGAGTCAGCTCTATATTCATAGAACCATTCAACACTATCCTTTTAATCTACTTCAACTGCATTTTTAAAAAGTGCAGGGAGGACTCTGCTAGCCATGGGAAGGGTCATTGGGATGGAGAATATGCAGCAGAAAGTAATACGGGCTAATCTGCAGGAGACTGAGCGTCACCTGCTCCTTGTCGGCTGAAGAATAAAGGTGTGAACTATTATCTGAGAATCTGGAAGACAGTATGTGAAAGTGGGGATTGCGTAATCCAGGTTGGAGAATATGAAAGTCAAAAGCTGCAGAAGAGGTATTGTAAGTTTTTGTGTACTACTTTTATGTCTTAACAGATACGAAAGGTTTCAAGTTGAACAGGGAGAGTGGCTTTTAAATAAGGACCTGTTTTGGCATATTCTACAGAACTATATTATAATAATTTTAATTTTTCTATATTTAATTCATATTTTTAATTTAATCATGTTTTAATACCCATGCAAGGGCTCCATTCCAACTAAATAGCAAAATGAACCAAAAGAGAAGACTATAGTGTAATCAGTGTCTCAGTCCATGTAAATTGCTTCTCCCAGGCTTGAGATTCAGCCATTTATAGACAGAAACACAGCAGCTCCCTGTCAGCTCCCTACAGCACCACATAGAAGGAAAGAAAAAATATATATATATAAAACTCTCACCAGATGCACTCAAGTAGCAACTTAACTGAGAATTTAATGAGATTTTATCCTGGCATGTGAGGTCAAATGTTATTAAAAAATCAGAGCTAAAACTAGTTTTACATATTATCTAAAAAAATAAAAACTAAATTTATCCCTTTCTGGAGATGAACCTGGCATTATGACTGAGGTGCAACTCTATTGTATGCTTTCTGGAGTGATAAAGCAGCTCCTAGCTCCTCTTGCCTGTTTACATTTTTGATCTAATAGATACTTTATTGTATAAATTGCAGCAGCCAAGCAACAACCTGAGAAGCAGAGCGACCTTTCTGGTCCATTGCATTCTTTGAAATCCTTCCTGTCTCACAGACAACTGCTTATACTGGACAGAAGATTTTGTGATCATATTACATGGATTCTGCCGACAAACTGGCTGCACTGTGCTTTTGAATACTCCTGTATATCCCCACAAAGGAGTCTTATGTGCAGTCCTGGAAGTTTTTAATTCCTTTGTTCTCCTTTGGCTTTGGAACAGCCTTACCTTTGGAGTGTGCAAAATGTTAGGTTATCTGCTCTGCCTGTCCCTTATCTCTGCAACATCATGAAATAGATAAACTTCTTTCTTTCCCCAATTGTTATAGTAGCATCTTTTATCATGGTAGCTTGGTGCTGAATAGTACTCTGAATTGCCCTAAATCTGAAGAAAAAGGTATGGTTGCTCCCAACAAGATCATAACTATGGCCTCACTTCAGCAGACCATTGAGATTATGCAAGGTATATGAGTAATGATTTATACTAAGAATTGAATTCAGCAAAAGGGATATTTAAGAAGGGAAATGAGGCTGTCAAAAAGAATTCCAGTATCCAATGAAAAATGAAATGGTTTTATTTCCTTATGACCTGTCTTCTGAGGGTGAAGAAAGGACTGCTGTTGACATCAGCATGTCTCAGCTGAGATCCTGAGTCAAAAAAAGATATGATAAATTCACTTGAAACTGTAACAGAAATAAAATTAAATATATTCTATGTCTCATGAAATTTGAACATTTCAGTTTGTAACTCATCTTCATTTTGTCTCATTTAGGAAATGAGTTTTTGTACCAATGATCCCCCTTGCTACTTATGTGCTTTTCCCATTAGTCACATTTTAAAAATCAAAGTGTTCTTAGACTTAATTTTGGCAGATAGTTCCTCATAAATAAAGACATGCATGAAAGATATACATGGAAATAAAGAGATAGATCTGTCTGAATTTGCTGTACCGGTCTAGATTGCCAATGAAAAATCAGTGGCACACCAGGAGGGAGAATATGGGTGGAGTCATTTAAATTATGAGAAGTTCCTATTATCTGTAATTTTTTTCTTTAACCATCTGAAAGGCAAAAGTAATAAGATCACTCACTGCAGCAAAACCAAGATAACAGTTTCAGCCAGCCCATGCTGTCATCTAGTTTAACCCATAGTATTAAATGTAAGATTTTTAGAAGTACAGCACAGTAGGTCCTCATTAGACCCTGAAAATATATAGCCAAGGTCTGAGTCAAGGTAGGTCACTCAGTTCATAAGAGATTTTAACAGCCATGTCAGTCACTGCAAATGAAGGAATGACAGCTCTTGATTCTTGTTTCTAATGACAGATCCTTTCCATCAAAAAAAAAGAAAGAAAGAAAAAAAAAAGAACTGAAACCTTTAAAACTTTGACAGGGAGAAGGGAAGGCAGGACTAGCCTAGTTTGAACTGATGAGATGCAATGATGTTCTGAGCCCCTGAGAGACTGCACTCAGGCTGCAGCAGTCTTTGCAAGACTGCCCTGAGACGACTCTGAAACCCCAAGTGGCTCGGAACTGCGTGTGTGCTGGCCCCGCATGTGCTGCGTTCTGCTCCTGGCAAGACTCCTGTGTGAGACTCATACTGAAGTGATGAGAAAAGGCATTGCTGCGAGTCCCTAATCAGGGAAGCAGTAATAGAGAGTTATCCTTTGTCCTTCTCGCACAGGATGGATACAGTGGATACAGACACATTACTGGATAACATCATCTCCTTCGGCTCCTTTTGAAAGGGCTGACCTTTCCCTCTCTATCAATATACAAGCTGGTTGGGTTTGCACACTAATTGATATAGATGTTACCATGTCGTCCTGTTTACACCAGTGTATGACAGCTTACATTCCATGCAAATTTGCATCTAACAAAAGGAGAAAACGGTTGAGAAAGATGATGCTTAGTCAGATCCTGCCAGAATGCATTTCCTCTGCTTTTAAAAATGCATTTATTTAGATAAACGTATAAAGACATTAGATAAAGGAAGATATCTTCAGGCAAATGGTAGCCATTCCTACTCACCCCGAAAGATCTCCTTTCTAATCAAACAATTCCTCTCTCATTTGAAAACACCTGAAAACAGCTGCACCTGAAGCTGATGATATTTGGGGTCCTGCAAGTTGAATAAAACCACGAATTACAAAGGCAGCTAGAAGGTCATCCTCTTCTGAAAAGGGTCTGCCTACAGAACTGCATGCTTCATGCTGCAGTATGACAGAGATCCACTGAGCAACACCATTCAAGATTATAAGTGGAAAAAATGGCCTAATGCATGCTTAGTGCGCTCACATATAGCTTGGGTAGACCTGGACTCAGTGATCCTTCAGAAAGTGAGGAGGCCCTAAATCATTTGTGGCAATGGATGCTGTAGCCTACTGGAACTCTCCAGCTCCACATTTAACCTATTAGAATATTTAATCACTTAAGGAACAGGATGCTCAGAAACCAGACAACTGCTTAGACTAGGTAGGAAAACAATTCAGAAGAGGATACGGACACTCAGGTGGCCAGAGGGAGGTTTCTTTGAGTCCTTTGAAATATCTTCTAGAGTTATACACACAAGCCTAAGCATATGAATGCCTAACATAAGCATAATCCACAGGAAAACCATAACAAGAACCACCAGAATAGTCAGGACACCAGCGGCTAAAGTGTTCCTCAGGTGTAAGAGTTCAAATTCAACCAATTCCAACATCCCAGGAGAGTACACTGAACCAAGCTATGGTGCAACACCCTATTGGGCAAATCTCTAGTGTTTAGACATCTGGATTCCTGCAGAGTTAGACATACTGCCTGCGCATAAAGTATCTGGGAACATTCCCAGGCACTGGAACTCAACCATCACTACTAGAAAACTATTAAAACATTCCCTACTACAATTTTGGCAGGTCAGAATAACTGTCTCCCAAGGACAGTTCATTCCAGGGACCTTCCCCAACAGGCAGTTTGCACGCATCCAGCCTGTTTTGCAGTTTACAAGAGTTTGCTAGCATGGTCAGTGGACCATTGTGTGCCAGTTGGCCTCAGTGTCTGGGAATGTTCCTGGACATGTTTAATATAGTAGTTTATTTGTACCTATTGTTTTTAAGCCAATGTAGCAGCTCACCACCATCAAAAAGGGAGGACTTGTTCCTTTTCTTGACTACATGATCCTACCACCTCCTTTATACCAGTTCTCGTGCTTGTCAGGCCTTTTTCTGAGCCAATTCAACTCTGTAACCAGCAGAAATTCATTTACTTTTTTTCAGTAGTGTAGGTGACTGCCAGTTTAGGAATTTGAATCAGCTCACTGCAGTGTCTGGCAAGCACTGAAGCCAGCTCAAGGGAGAGACATGGCTGGGCCCGGAAAGGGGAGAGGGGTGAAGTAGTAGGGTGGAGCAGGATCTCTCTGCAATGGTGGCAATGATGCATTACGCTATGCCTTTTAGCTGCACTTTCATGTGACTTACTGAAATTAATTTCAACTGCAGTTGCAGAGCAGTTTAAGGTGTTGTAAGCCATTACTGCTGCTGAAAGGGGAGGGTCTGCCTGTCTCTTTCCAACTACTCATTCCCACATCTCCTCCCTCCCTTGTGCCAGCACAGTGATGTATGTGGCAGTGAGTGAGCTGGACCGAGAAAGAGATCCTCACAAAAAAAAAGAAAGAAAGAAAGAAAAGAAAGAAAAGAAAGGAAGGAAGGAAAAAGGTTAGTCATAACTTGCTCTAGTTCACTGCATGGCCACAAATGCTTATGACAGAATGGGATCACAGGGGAATTGCAGGGAGGATATAGAAGTAAGACTGAGCACCCAGGTTCAGACAAAAGGTGGGAAAGCAGTTTCAGGTTTTATCAGCTTAAATTGCTTGTGGAATTGCAGTATTCAGTAGCTAAAGAGGCATATATACATCTAAAAGCCCCAAAAAGGTGCCATTCGTGAGGCATTTGGATTAAACTATAGCAGGAAGAGGGTTAGAGGGGAGAAGAGCCTGCAGATACACTAAATATAGGTTCAACATGCCATTGTAAAACCAGACAGGTTGTATAGATTTTCTACATTTTTATGAAAGTTGTCTTTTCCTAGCTATGCTAGCTGTCAGCGCCTGTTTCTTAAAAAGAAAAAAATCTCTAATTGAGCTAAAATCAATAGGATATGGGGCAAAAAAAATCTTGAAAGTTGTACTGTTCATTATGACAGTCCAGAAACACTGAATACAAACAGCTTTGTGCTGCAGTAACTGAATTCAGTCTCCTGTGTTATTATAACCTTTTTATTGCAAGTATGCCTTATTTCAAAGTCTATTCTAAAAACACAAGTGGGAAGAGGCAGTAGAGGAGAAGCATTAACTTTCTGTTGCTGTCAGACGGATCTAATTTGTAGTGTCCCTTACCGCTAATTGCTTAAATAAATTGCATTTTGCAGCACAGACAGGAGCCATATTAGATTTCTGGAATTCTGATCCAACTCCAGAATGTCTCATGGAACAGTTTTCATTACACTCTTGTGTAGACTTTTTAATGGCTCTAAACAGTTAATTGAGTTATTCTAACAGGCATAGCATCTTCCACAGAATAAGCTTTCTAATGCTGTTGTTTGCTCTTAAGTTTCCTATGCAGCTTTTCCACTAGGAGGTTTAAGACTTGGAAAATTAATGATGTTACTATTTGAAGATTTAACATCTTAAATTTTCCGCAACCTCCTTTCTCTCAAAGAACTTCACAGGCAATTTAAAATAGTAGCTAATGCAAATCAATATAATTCTGTTGATCTGAACAGCACTATGCTGATTTACACTGGTTGAGGACCTATCAAGGAAAACGTTGCAGTGCTTGCCACCCAGTAGCGTGCCTTCTGTTGCCTTGTTCATCACTTAGGATGCGACTGCTGCTGCACAGCTCTGTACTTTAACAGTGCTGATCAAAGCTGCACATAAATTACCTTGACCAGTTCTAAGGGATGTCAGCAAAGCTAGATGTGTAGGCAGAGACAGTATTTTCCCCTAGTAAAACTGGGGGAAAAGGTGGAAAAAAGGAAACAGGGAAGTTTTTTAGTCACATAGACATCTTCAAGATTTAACCCATCATTTACATGGCTTAGATATCTGACTGGATTTGAATTAGGTGCCTCTGTACTACAGCTTCCATATCCATGTATCAAGCGTTTGAGTTACAGGCTTCCCGTGGCATACTTCATAATATTTCTAGGTTTGATTTTGTACACCTACATGGAGAATAAACCTACTGAAGACCACTTAACTAAAAGTGACAGAATCAATGTTTGCACATGTATTTTTGAGATCAGAAATTATCATGATCCCTCCCCTTCCCTCCCCTTCCCTCCCCTTCCCTTCCCTTTTTTTGTTCTGTTTATGAAGTTCCCTACTTATTGCTTTCCCTCCCTTTCCAAGAAGATATATTGATATCCATCTTCTTTCTCTAGGGCAGCTAGCTTCACTGAGCCAGCTTAGCGTGCACCCAGAATCCAACAGAATTCCAGCTGTGAGATATGTTGCGAAGAGGAGAGAGTGGTTTTAGAAATAAAATTTAAAATGTGCTCAGCAGCCATATCCATTGTTTTTCTCTTTGTGGATGCATTGCTTCCCTGCTGAGATAATTTCTCTTCATTATTTACGCATATAAAAATGATCTATGCAAGTAACTCAAACAGTTCCACTAGAAAGCACCACGTGGAAGCCTGTCTTTACACAGCTCACCATATGTTCTGTAGCAGCACCTGCTGAGCCCTTCGATCACTTGCTTGCACTCCTGCTGCCATGAAGGTTCAGATGAGGGTGGAGAATAACAATGCCTTATATTTATTTGTTTGCTTTGATGCAGGAGAATGACAAGATAATCACAGTCAGATTTACAGACTTCAGATGAGGATTGCTTTATCTGTTGCTGAAATGTAGTCATGTCTGGGGTGGAGCAGAGGCAACTCTTTAACAAAGGAAAGTAAAATTACAGATTAGGATTGGCAGATAAATAATAGTATAGCCACACTGAATGAATGGGAGAATTTTACTTGGTATAGGTCAGCTGTCAACATTGAACCTGATCCAGGACGTTAGAGTTAACACTTCTGCTTTAAGAAAAAAGAGTCGATATGTCCTTACTTATATTTATCCAGCACTTCATCTGATGTCATATCCTAAGACAGCATATAAAATGTAAATGTAAATCGTACAATTTCTAGACAACTAAAAATAAAAATAGAATGCAAAATCATTCTCAATTTCCCCATTATCAGGAATGTTGCAGTAAAGAGAAGGTTAATGAAAATATCTGGTCTAAGAAGCAAAAACATTCCAGATTGATCCAGCTGATTCCAAGGATGGGGTCGTGCAGCAAATTTGAATTCAGAGCTTTGTAGCTTTCTCTGCAAAGGGAAAGGCTATGCCCTTTCTACGTTCTGAAACTGATACCTGCAGCCTTGAGAGTCTCAGCAGTAAGATGCATACAAAACACACAGGAAAAATTTGCTCCAGCTTCCACAGAATCCCAGTTAAACTTAATTCAGCAGTTGAGAGTGGCAGAAAAAGTAAAACTCGCATCTGTTATAGTTGCTACAGTTGGAGGTGTGAGTTATGAAGGAGATTTGCCAGACTCCTAGGCCTACGAGCAAACCAGAAGGGAGCAAGATGAACTGATGCCAAAGTATGAGCTGTTTCCAAACGCAGCAACCTGTGCAGAACCAGAAGGTCATAGACTGCAGCTGGCCCTACAGCAACTGAGACAGAGGGAACAGTCTTAACAAGCACTGAAGTGCCAGACAGGAAAAAGAGGCCAGGGTGCTAATCTGTTCAAAATGAGGAGCTGGCCTGGGGATATGCTAAGAGAGAGGGTGAGGAACATGTGGGAACTGTATTTCTCTCTTTGCCCAATAGACACCTTTCTTCAGCGTGCTGGTAGACTACTTAGTCTGCTCTATGCATCTGGGATAGATTCATCCCACACCTCTTTTAAAGGGCAGAGTGGGGATGGGTGTGAGATAATAAGCACTTCTATTATTTTGCTTCCCAGAATTCTCTCCTCTTTTTTTCCAGCATAATCCATCTGCTCTGTGTCTGAGCTTCTGGCTCCAGTCAGGCTTTAGGATTGCACAGACCATCACTAGCATCCCTGGATAGTAGGCTGCGAGCTCCATGTATTTCCCAGGGCACTGCTTCTGTTTATCTCCATTTCTTGTAAAATGCTTTGTAATGATACTAAAACTTAAGGAAACTAGAAGGGATCCTCCAATTTCAAAGGTCAGAATAGGAGTCTCTCTACTAAATATTTGCCAGAAGCAGATCTTATGTCTAGTGAATTGCATATTTTGCAAATTTTCCTCTACTGATTCAGTTTTATTCAGTCACAATAAGATTGTGACTGATGTTTTTTCAAAGATAGCTGAAGTTCAAGAAAATAAATTTTATTCTCTCAAGGCCCTTACTGAAACTTTAGTAAAGGATAATTTAACTCACAGGAAGTAGGATTAAAGAAAGAGAAAAAGAGGAAGCCTTTTAATGAAAATTCCTTTTCTTCCTCCTCAGGAAAGTTGTATACAGACTCCCAGCTGCCTTCAGTGAGACTAGTAAGAATGTTAGGTTTTAAAAAATTCATGTGATATAACACACTTGGGGAAGCCTGAGTCCTGAAGCATATTTAGTTCATTTGCTCCTCCTTCTAAAGTAGTTCCGTGCCACACTTTCAGATTAATCAGACCTAGATTCTTTGGGTTGATGATCATTCTCTGTTGGTCTGAAAAGTTAAGCTGTGTCTTTGGGATACAATTCAACATCATTAAAATGAATGAGAGCTTGGCTGATTACCTCAGTGGGAATAGAACCATATGTTCAAGGAACACTATGGGTCCCTTCACCTAGCAGCTGGATAAGTATATATCATATAATCCCTTTGGTCATGAGGACATTAGGAATGTAAATGAATCAAGAGTCAATTGCTTTAAGGAACAACCACTTTGCTTTGAGAAACGATAAGACCCACTTTGCTTTGAGAAATGATAAGGCTAAATTAGAGCAACAAGTAAGGATTAAAGGAGTAAAGGCAGAGGCAATGGACTTACTTTACTAAAGGCATATGACTGAATGAGCTGTATAATAATGATCTGATATTCCTTCAAGTAGCAATTAGACTTTGCCCTTTATTAAGAAAATGTAATCAAAATCGCATACAAGCAGGCAAGGAGAGCAAAGCTGCATCCTACCCAAAGCTCTAGGAAATGGAACACACAGAGTTCTCCTAGCTGGGGCTGCCCCATGGAAATTGCACTGCAAGAGAAACCTCTCACTCAGCAGGTCCTTGTTTGCTTATCTTATGTGGAATGGTAGAGGTCCAACATATGAGACTGGCTGACAGTCCTCTGCTTCTCAGCCTTCTTGATACAATGTAATTTCTTGGCTTTATCAGTAGAAGTTATGGAATCAATGAAAGCTATGGGATCAAAGGACTAGATTTCACCAGTGGAGCCTAGTTGTCCAACTTTTCCCACTAAGTTTATCTATTATAGACAATTATTTGGCTGCAGAAATAGTCCCCTCTTTCTGCACAACCCTTTCCACGAAGGCTGTTAGAGAGAGAGATGGCAGAGAGCAATATCACTGTGAGCCTGTAGCGAGATAGAGAGCTCTTTCATCTACTGCTGAAAGCTGTTGACTGTCAGTGGGCAGCTTTTCCCTGAACACTTTACTGGTGTTCAGTGAAAA